TATATATATATATATATATATATATATATATATATATATATATATATATATATATACATATACATTAGTCATGAAAGGATAATAGTATATTAAATATATTAATTTGTGCTCTTACCTAACTCTTCTACGTTAACTATAAGAAAATCATCCTTATTTAGGGAAGTAATACTTTTCACTTTACCCCATTTAAGCCAAAGAACCTCCGAGATATTGTAGGACTCATAACTAGATTCCGTAATGTAATTGACAGGTATTATCCATTCGGGATTACTCTTAATAAATGGGCGCGATGAAATGCAAGCTGCAGTCCGTTTCACATAATCACGTTGGATGAACAGTTCTGGGTGATGTTTTGTAGTTAACCAAGTATTCATAATGTCTTTTACCGTATAGTTGCTTTCGAATTTTAGAGAATGAACTTCTTCCAATATAGTCCACACGTCCTTCGTACTAAGGAGGTAACAAACTCGGGATTTTTAAATATTTAACTTTGAGAGCTGATATAATACATATCACTTAATTGCCCAATTACTGACATCATTTAACATATATTCTTGAAACTACATATAATACGAAATTATAAGTGTATTAATATAATCAATTTAAAATATAAAATAAAAAAAATTTTCTTATTTGTTGATGTCCAAATAATAATACAAGGATATGAGCATAATTTACTCTAAAAGTAGCACAAAACTAAGTACGTAAAGTTAGCGTTAAACAGTGTACAATTGCATGCACTCTGACTTGCGTGTGCCAAGCATGTTGTAAGCAATATATTTTGTTTCGTAGATCTCCCAATGTACGGTAGAGAGTACTCTACCGGCAGCAAATTGAGATTCTCATAGTGTGTCTGTTTATATGCATGTCGAAAAGCAAGAAATCTCGATATCGGGTGACGTTAGATTCATAAATTTTCAATAAGATTCTTAAACATAAAACCATAGTTAAGTTACTGTCCGTTACTAACCGTTCATTTACATATCTTCTAATGGCCTCTATGAAAACTTCAGGATTGTAAAGTTTGAACAGCATGCGAATTAGAGCGAAGGCTACGTCGATGCAAATGACAAAATATATAATTAAATAATTTAAATATATTTGGATAAACGCATGTAAATATTTATTTAGCCTTTCTTTACCTTTCTTATGATATAAGAGAGGATAAAGTAATGCATCAATTCCATTGCTATTCTTAGCCTTGTTTATAATAGGTTCTCTCTCTAAAAACGTGTCACTATCTAAAGCGGGCTGAATAATTTTAACTACGAACAGCTCCATTATTCGATGTGGCGTCCATACCTAGAAACTAGTTGTCGTTATCTGTTGTTTCTACTTACTGTTACATCAAGAGTAATGTTCGAAGTAACAGAATAAATAATCGTAGTTTTGTCATTGACGTGACATATTTTCAGGAATTTAAATTTTTTCAAATAACAATAAGATACATTAAGTACAAAAGCTTATCTGCAATTAATAATAATTCTGATGAAGTAATATTCCATAAAATAACCTTGTTTGTGATATAATAGCCGAAAAATGATGCAAACATCTCATTCAACCACACATAATCATCACTTGAATTCTGGCTGACAACACCGACGAAAACTTGCCGCGCCATTTCGTATGCTATTAACATTTTAATGTCAAGATATTGACCGGTAGAATTTAAAGCTTCGTCGAAAATAATATCTTTTTCCCTGTAAAGTGAAGAGAAGGACATTTATCAAAAGTCATTACGATATTAATATATATATAGTATGAATATGTATAATTATATAGAAATAATATGTATAATAAATAAATAATATAATAAATAAATAATATACAAATATATGTATATATATATATGTGTGTGTGTATGTGTGTGTGTGTGTGTGTGTATGTGGAAAATCTGTAAAACACAGTTTGTTTGCGCATATTTGCCATATATTTCTCTCTCTCATTTCCTCTCCCCAATTTAAAGTGCATTTTCCTAACCTGTTATTTAAGTGTTCTAAAGATCACGTATCTTAATACATATATTTGTGAACGTTACGCGAAAGTTAAAATAAACCCTACTATACAAAATTCCAACGACAGTGAGATATGGAATGTTATGCAATTCTTAAAGTAAATTTAAAGAACTTCTCGGTAGAAAACGCTTTAGAAGTGATGACACATTGTAGCTTGCAGTTAAGAATTGGCTGGATTAGAGACTACAATAACTTTATTTTAAAACTTGTGAACAGTTATGATAAATGGTAAAATAAAAGAGGAGATTATGTAAAATATATAATAAGTTATTGTGTGTTTAATAGAATATAATATTAAGAAATAAATTGCTTCTTTAACTTTTAAAGCTAAATAGTCATTTTGGATATTATCCTCGTGTATATATATATATATATATATATATATATATATATATATATGTGTGTATATTTTTTTCTTCTTTATGAATTATCTTTGCACACACATATATGCTTTGTACATATCCTTTTCCTCCCTGCATTCTTCACTCTTTTCTTTCCCTATCACTAGCTCTCTTTTCGTTAGCCATGACTGCTTATTTTAATTTTATTTGTGAAAAATAATTAGAAATATAATAAAAATATATTCATATTTTCTGTGTGTAATATTTTAAAAACGACATATGTCTATATATCGTACGTAGTATGACATTCTAATTGTGTAAATATATTAACACTGTCGAAGTTTCACTATATAGAAACAGGTGTGATGCAAACGTATAGATATTCTGTATTTTTGAAATTTTAATGAATTTTTAATACTATGGAAAATTTTATAAACTGATAATCCATCTCAGTTTCCATAAGTAACGGCTACTAATTTTTTTTTATAAAAATGTATTGTGAATATATCCAGTTTTTAATTATCTGCAAAAATTGCAAAAATGGAATGAAAAATATTAGGATAAGGTATCTCACATTGCTGATTACATTACAGAATGGTAAATACTATTTACACTTTACTTATATTACATATATATTAAAAATAACTTTACACAGTGACTTATAATAGTGTGCATTTATTCGTTTTATACAAAGAAAATTAATATTACTGTTAAATAACGGTATTGCATGTCTTTGTATGATGTGTTCAACTTAGGCTCATATATATTTGTGTTATCAAATTTTATAGCGTCTTTCTTGTAATGTTAATGACTTAAATTATATTATTTTTAATATAATTATTGTGCATATACCTGTAAGCGACAAGTCCGGGTACACCCATTGACTTCATAGGACCACTTGGAAGTACGACATGGTCAATTCTTGGAGAGATGACCGATGAGTTTATTTTCATGTCAGTAATAAAATGAGATGTTACCATTTCTGCTATTTCTAGTATATAAGTGAATCTCTTACCCGCATCTATTTTGTGCCACATATAATGGATATCGCGTTTATTATAATCTATCATGATATCACCGACTATCAAAAATGCTATCAGATGAGTGGGCATCAAAACGAATTCTTTGAACTGTATCAATATTATGCCAAATTGTGTCGGTGGCTCTACATAGAAAAAATATTTTTGGGGTATTGTTGAAAGAACTGTGTAATCTGAAGGATATTGGACGGAGATGTTGTAAGTTGCTTTTACTCTCGGATCGTCCCAGCATGGAAAGAATCCTCGTATCGCGTGTGGTGTGTAGAGATTTGTGAGCAACCATCTGTTGTATTGCAACATAAAGTATTTGATAAGGATAAATGTTCTGCTATTATGTAATTGTCTAATGAGTGCACAAGACTGACGTTAATGTTTTATTATAAATGTATATTCCTATCGTTTGTAGGTACTAGATACTTCATATAAAGTTTTCAAATTTGTAGTACTATGTCGATAAAATTTGTAGTATTGTCAACAATAAATCTGTACTTTAAATATGTAATACCCGTTTTTAATCTATATCATACTTTTTTATTATATACATTACATATAGGATATCCGATAATTTGTTATAGAACTGCTATGTACAGCATAACGAGTTAAAAATATGAGAAAATTACATATACAAGAGAAATTAATATGTTATCGTTAGACACCTTGTATATATAAATCTATAATTAAAAATATCTCATGTTTTGCTTACGTCTGATTTTCGCTAGTCCAAGTAGTTGGATAAAAGACGTTCTCGATATAACGATTTATAACGGATGTATATGCTAGTGTTAACCAATATTTTCCTTTACTTAGTATTTTGTTAAACTTCAAAATTAAAACATTCTTTTTGTCACAATATTGGAATTCGAAAAGTTTATAAGGTGCACGTTCTGGTTCAGCCTTTAAAAATAAATCAAACGTCGTAATTTTCGTGGCGTATAAAAGAAAAGCTTCCACAAACATCGATAAAATAGTGAGCTCAAATTATCTTTGCTTTGACATATAAAACTTTTAGCATATTGTTCTGGAGGATGAGGTCTATACATATAGTCAGATTAAGGAATTGAAATAAATGATATAATTTAACATTGGGGCAAAGTGCAAATTCGCTTACTGTTGCATTGTAGCCGCGTGTCGATACTGCATGTAAGCTTATGTTCCACGTTGATTTCTTGACGTCAATCAAGACATTCAGAATACCTGACAATATTCTTTGACGTGGCCTTACTATTATTCTAACATCGTATCTTAATGGCATTACTTCAGAGATGTTTAAATTCTCAGAAACAGACGAGCAATTTATTATATTCCTGGAAAGCATTCCATTAGCGACCGCGACGGTAAATATCAGAACGATTCCAAGAAATATTATTGACCTCATTTTTGTTTCCAATAACGTCTGCATAAAAATAACTATTCTCTGTCTAAGTAAAATAATACGTAATATAAAAACAATATCGTTCGCTAGTTTGCAGTTTTAGATAACAAGGAAAATAGAAAGGGAAAGCGTTTGAAATTTTAATGGTTGATATCTGTTAATGAAGGTGATACGTATATCGGTTATGTGTAATATTACGTTATCTTCTCTGACTATACAAGTAAATATCTCGGCGTTCTCCTAATATTGCAAAGTTAAAAATTAAGCTGATAAAGAAACTAAACAATATATTTAAAAGGATTCCTTGAAAAATATTTTAATAGAATAGAATACAGGAAAATGTTAGAGATATACTGTAAGCGTTCTGTTGATTACATAATGTAATATCGGAATGATGAAGTTTGAATTATTATCTACGTTATGTACGGTTAATATAATATCTTACACGAAATTCAATAACTTCTCGTGAGAAATAATATAGAAATAATAAGGATACGTCGATGTTACAGTTAATTAATTCTTGTGTATGACTGACAATTTTAATTCTGAATTTTAGCAGTGGTCACACGTTATAACTGTAGTGCAGATTGTACAATTACATTCCAATTCACTTATAAATAATGCAATATTTACTTGCATTGTCATAAAATATATTACGATGTATATTGCGAATTGAAACGCTATTTTTATGGAAGAGAGGATAAATTAAAATTCACAGTTGTATTCTCTGATATGTCAAGTCATGACAAGTCTTCTAAGTTGTGAGATAATTAAATGTATAGTATGTATTTTGTGTGTCGATATTTACAGAATGACTTCATTGTGTTGACATAAACATATTTTTAATGATTGAGCTGATAACACTATCAAGTGCTAGATAAAATATTTGTTACTTCTGTTTCTTACTAAATAATGTTGAGATCACTTACCATATAACTTAAAAGCTGAACATGACGCTTTTAGCTTTTCATGCAAGGTACCTAGTTATGTTTGCCGAATTTGCATTGAAAATGTTTCTTCAATAAATAATTCACTAGGAAATATAATTTGAGGATCGTATCATTTTCTCTCTCAACGAATCGCTTTAAACTAACAACGATAACCGTATCTGATATATTTATATGTAAGAACTAAGATAAAACTATGTAACTACGAGTTAAATTACTATCGTTATAAATAAGAAATTCTGTCTGTCAGTAAACACATCCACGCAAATGATCTACGAATGCAACCCATACAAAACAATTATTCGATGTATGATACATCTTAAAGAATTTGTACTTTCAACGTTAAACATTTTTTTATATACGTGAGTAATCCAGATAAAGTATTTGAAATATTTCAAACGTATTTAAGTAAAAATGCGATTGACAAGTGCAACTAACAATATTGACATTAACAGTCGCAACAAGACTATTCAATAATTCTCACTTTCCTTAAGTTTCAATGTTTATTTCCTTTTATTTCCTCTAACTTGGTTCTTTTTCTTTACTCCTAATATTATTCTTTGTCAGATATATTATATGAGATATCTCAAATGTACGTTCATGGTAGCCCAGTTATAATTAATCAATAGTTAAGTTTTGTACATTTAAAAATATTTTAATATATTTTTGGAATGTAAAATGCTTGTATAGAGTAAGATGTTTGTAAAATTACGGAAACAGTATGATTTATAGCATAATATATAGAATAATAACAATTATAAAAAGTACTTATATGTATGATATCTTTTACCTTTTCGACGAATCACTTTAAACTAACAACAATATCTGTATTTTATATATTTATATATAAGAATTAAAGTAAACAAACTAAACTCCTATATAAAGAAAACATATATAAGAAACGTCGTCTGTCAATAAACACATGCACGCAAGTGATTTACGAAGGCAACTCATACAAAACATCTATTCGATATATGATTTATCTCAAAAAATTTGCACTTCTAACGTTAAACATTTTTTTATATACGTGAGTTATCCAGATGAAGAGTGTTTGAAGTATTTAAAACGTATTAAAGTAAAAATGCGGTTGAGAAATGCATTTAACAATATTGGCATTAACATTTGCAACAATTTTCAAAAACTAGTCAATAATTCTAACTTTCCTCAAGCATTAATATTTATTTCTTCTGTGTTCTCTAAACTCAGTTTCTTTAGTTTACTTTTAAAATTATTCTTTGTCAGATATATTATATGAGATATCTTAGATGTATCTTCATGGTAGCCAAATTATCAGTTAAGTTCTGTACATTTGAAAACATTTTAATATATCTTTGAATCGTAAAATGTTTGTAAAATTACAGAAACAGTATGATTTATACCATAATACTAACAATTACAAAGAATATGTTGGTTTAAAATAACAAAAAAGTACATAGTTTCCAATCGCTTGCTTTCCAACGTTCTCGTTTTCTCTATAATATTAATCTTTCATTCCTCCATAATATTAATCTTTCATTCCTTTCTTTATACGTTCTTTCTAGCACGTGAAATAAAGGATGAGTTGTATTTACATTTCCCTACATCGCGTGCATCTACTCATGTGCAATTTAAACTTGTCAAATCAGAGGGAAAGATCCTTTCTTATTTTTCAAACAAGTGCCATAATTTTTTAGATATGAATTGTACAAAATTGGTAAATTTATGCGTTAAAACGACACACTTCTTTTTATATCTATTTTCCACATGTTTTCGTTATCGTTTTCGTTACCCAAATAATGTATAGCAATATCTTTCTTCGCAGAACAAGCCAAATACTTTAAAAGCTTTTTATTTTCCCGGTTTGTTCTTTCAGGAAAAATAGTGTGCCAAATCTTTAAGTTTATGCACAATGTGTACCCGAACAAAATATCCAATCTTCCAACATCGACAAAATTCTATGAAGAACAACAAGCACTTGTAATGCATGTCTAGCCATTGATATGGCTCCTTGGTTATTAATTCTCAAACATAATGTGGGAGATACTAGTCAAACATGTTAAAATAATAATAAACGGTTATTAAGACATTTGCAAATTTACTTTCGAATCCATATCAAACAATTTCTTAATAGCAGTATTTCAGCTGTTTAAGTTTACTTACGGTAAAAGCGATTGCTATAATAAAGTATTCGAAGACACTACAAGTTATGTCAATTAGGAACAAAGATAATACCAATAAAAACATGAATAACTAAGAGCTACTGCAGAAAAATTTATTAAGTTATGATAACAAAAAAAAAAATATTAATATATATACATAATGTTACAGTTACAAAGCGCGTATGTTCCAGCTCCTTTTTATCATAATTTTCATTTATTCATTAACATATCTACTCTTTTCAAGATAAATTTCCCTCAACATATCTAATGAATGATCTTTCATATATTACGTAAATAATAAATGAATAAATTTTGAATTTTGATAAGACCTATATCTGACATGAAAAAAGATTTCTTTTTTCATGTCAGATATAAGTCTTATCAAAATGTTTAGTATTATATGATGTAGCATATACCACATGTTAGAATTCTTAAAAAATTAAAAAATGTTTATCATTTTGGAAAAGCATTCTTAATAATAACAGCAATATAGTATGTAACATCATTCGGTGATTATTTTGATTATTCTATATAATATTGATTTGATCCGGGAGATTATAATGTCGATCTCTTTTAAACATTTTCAGTTCGATTATTCGCATATTTGACAAAACTTTTCAAACTTGTCCTGCACTTTTCCTAGATATCTTTGCCGGTGGAGAGTCAGCTCGTCGTTTGATTGCAGAAGATCTGAAGAATGTGAAATAACTTCCGCATCCGAAAGGAACAATTTGCGAGTATGTTCTCGTATCTGTAACAGTTAATTGAGTACTTAACATATTACAACTCTATCGACATAACAATTACAGGTCAAAACAAAAATATCTTTTTTAGTAAATAAAACAACTTATTTTACACAGTGTTTACAGATTAGTACAAAGAAGTTAGATAGAATCATATTTGCGAATAATAAATAATTTAAGGAATTTTAAACTGAAAAATTTACAATGTAGAGGTCGTTTAATGAATACACATTCATAATCATATCACTTATTAAAATGCTAGTTGGGAAATCCTCTGGAAACCTGTAAAATTAAATTGAACTTTACTAGATACTGCTGCATTTCCAAAGAGGAGAAACAACCTACTTTTATCACGAAAAATAATACCTGCTTACTATTGCACGATAATTATTCAGCACATAATGTAACACAATACTTTTCCTAACATGTTTTCGCACAATCTTACGAAATATTGGTCCCATAGATTGTTCTAGTCTCGAGAAATAATCTGTCCGTAGCATCAAATTTAAGTAATATATGATGATCGAAGTATTTTCAGTACATGACAAATACTCTAAGAGCTCTGTATTATTATATATCATACTTTTATTCAAAATAATTTTCCAATCATCTAAATGTTCTAACTTCGATCCATCACAAAGTATCCATTCTTTCGTCATTATCCAAAGTCTACGAAGTGAAATGAAATAAACGCTTATATGATTGGGTGTGTGTGTGTGTGTGTTTGCGTGTGTAATTTCAGTTTAGCATTTGATATTATTTCTTAGTCATATTTAGTTAAGGAATGATATTGACTGTTGTGTAACTACATAATTCATTAAGTATTTTGAAGGATATTTATGAATTACGAGAAAAATTACTTGTTCAGTCCTTCCAGATTATCTATATAATAATCTATTAAACGATGGGATGCGGTATTTATACACACAGGATGGTTAAGTTTACAGGCCCACATCCGTACTAAATATCTTAGCGATTTTCTCATGGGATCATCACTCGAATTCTCTTCGTATCCTATTGTGAGAAGTACTCTATCCAGGATTATGGAAAAGTGTTCCTGCAAGTCGTACGTTATACAACGTCAACACTGTCAAGTCACCTTGTTACTTAAGTTGACATCGTTTTTATGTAGATTGATTCAATATGTGCAAAACTCTTTTAGATTTACAAGTCGATTAATTTGTTATATCATAACATTCTATTCCTTTTAGACAAGCGTCTACATATGCTAACAGCTGATAAGCATTACCTATAAAACTCCTTATACTTACCTTAATATAATTACTTTCAAAGAACTTAAAGTAAGGTGATATATCCAACAAAATGTTAAACATAGGGTACCATGCGATAAAATCTGTATCCCTCTCTAGATGCTTAGTGACTTCGACGAAGATAGAAGTATTGATATTTCTTCCTATTGTAAAGTAATACGCATCATTTACCAGTTGAGCACGAGTAAGGGGAGGTATGTGTGGGGTATTGTTTTTTTGCATGTGCGTCGCTAGTAGCATCCAGTTCCTGTCGTCGTAGTTAACACGGTAGTAACCTGTAATAAAAGAAATGTTATTAAATTATTTTATTATTATTTTGTTATTTTTATTACTTTATTTATTAGATCATTATATCTTATTAAATTCTTTTATTGCTGTTATTAACGTATTAAATACTTTTTCTATCGTATACGTTAGAATATTATTCACATTTCTGAATTCATGAATCAAAATCCATATTCGAAACAATAGAAAACGATTGAACGATAGAATTTTATTCTATCATCCTCTATCAACATTTTTTTACCAGGGAAACGTTAAACAAAATCGTTGCACTTTACAAATTCTAATGTAAAATTAATGTACTAGTGTATGAGAAATATATCTCCGATCGATTTCTAACATTATTTTATGTTCAAATTTTTATAGTGAGATTATCGAGAAATAAATAATTTACTAGATATTTTATATCTCGTACTTAAAATTGTAAAAATATTATATACAATATATCTTAAGAGGCATTTATTTTTCGACGATTCAATTCTAGTACTTTTATATGCAGAATGATCGGAGGTCACATATCATCGATTTGTACATCAATTTGTATTAAAAATCTAGGTAGTAGTATTGAAAAATATCAAGTTGATCTTCATATAATTATAACAAAGTTATAAAGTTATTGAGAGTTAAGCGAAAAATTTCCTTTATTATAAGGCATCTCCTTTAAAACCGTATAAATTTTATTTGAAACATTTTTTAGATTAAAAATTTAGTTTTCGAATAATCTCATTAAAATAAGGCACCTTGTATAGATTCGTCATGAAAGGAATATTATAGTATAGTAAATATGTTAGTATATGTCCTGACCTGATTGTTCTACGTTGACTATGAGGAAATTATTTATAGATATCTGCATATCATCATATCCTGCCTTTAGGGTACTATTCAAGTAACACCAATCATGCCACACAACATCCAAGGTATTGGAAGACATGTAAGTCATTTTCGTAAAATAATTGACAGGTATTATCCATTCATTATGATTAATCCGTGCATACAATGAGAGATAAGTCATAGGTCGCCGTTTGTCATAATAACGTTCGACAAACAGCTCGGCGTAGTGTGTTTTCGTTAACCATGTATTCATGACTTCTTTTATCGTATCGCTTGTATCGTGGGCCATATTTCGCATAGGATAAGCTTCTTCCAATATACTCCATATATTCTTTGTACTAACATGGTAAACAACACGGCAATTTTAAATATTTGACTTTTAGAGCTTGCTCTTGTAACATACGTATAGACACATACATATAAAAATATATAGATATAAAGGAAAACGTATCAAAACTATATCATTTAACTTTCTAACTACTGACATCACATATGTATATGTTCATGAAACAATCGTTAATATGGCATCATAACTGTATAAATGTAATTAATTTAGGATATGCTCCAATGAAATGCTTCCATTTTTTTATGTGTCTCGTATAAACAGTAAAAGAGAATATCAACATAATATTCCGACAAATAAACAAACAACGATTGAAAGTGTAAAGTTAGTCAATGTATAATTTCATACATATGCTTGGCGCACTGTAAGCAACTCAGTTTCTTGCATATATCTTTTAATAAACAGTGGTGAGTAGCCCAGTAAATTGAGTTTCTTATAGCGTGTCCGTCAATGTGCACGTCAGAAACTATGAAATTGGATATTGGGTAACGCTAGCTTCATATAATTTCAATGAAAATGAAATATAAGATCACAGAGTTATGTTTCTATCCGTTACTAACCGTTCGCTTACATATTTCCTGATAGCCTCCTTGAAAACTTCGGGACAGTAAATTTGAGACAGCATGCGAATTAGAGCAAATGCTATGTCGATGTAAATGATGAAACATATAATATTAAATAAGTTATGAATAATCAGATAAATATATTTATTCAACCTCACCTTTCTTATGATAGAGAAGAGGATAAAGTAATCCATCAATTCCATTTCTGTTCTTAGCCTCGCTTATAATAGGTTCCTTTTCTAAGAACATATCACTGTTTAGAGTGGGCTGTATAATTTTAACTACAAACAGTTCCATTAATCGATTTGATTCCCATATCTAGAAACAACAGATTGTAGTTATTGTTGTAGTATTTGTTATCGTTATTTATCTGTCGTCGTTGTTGTGATATGTTTCTAAGTGTTTAGAAGTACTCAGTAGCTAACTATTAACAACGAAACCTTATTTACAATTTATTAATTCTAATGACATAAAATAATCTTGTCCATGACATAATAACCGTAGAATGATGCAAATATCTCGTTCAACCATACATAATCAGTATCTAAATGCGGGCTGGCAACACCTACGAACAACTGTCGTGCCATTTCGTATGTTACTAACGTTATAACATCCAAATCCCTGCACGGAAAATCTAAAACTTCATCGAACGTAATGTCTCTTTCCCTATAAATTGAAAAAAATAGTTTTATTAAACGTTATTATTATATTAATATATATGATTCAAAATATTTCCGAACACATATATACTTTGTATATATCTTTTCCCTTTCTACATTCTCTACTCCTCTCTTTCTCTATTACTTTTTCTCTTTTTTTATCATTATAACTCTCTCTGCCTAGTATTATTTGTGATAAAATCATCGAGAATACAACTTAATTGTCTCCATTTTTCTACGTAATAACATTTTAAAAACATCATATGTTTATATATTGTGTCCAATATGATACTTTACTTCCGAAAAAATTTTAGAATTGTCGGAGTTCCAGTATATTGTAACGTGTGTGATGCGAACACCTAAATATTCGATATGTGTGCATTCTCGATATTTTAACAAATTATTAGTACAATTATATGCAAAATTCCGTAAACCGGTAATACGTTAGATTTTCCGAAAGTAATGGCTCTTATTTGTAGCTGACAGAAACATATTGAAAGTATATTTAATTTAATTGAAATTTTAGGGAAAAAATTGAGAGAAAATGGAATAAAAGCAGCAAGGATAACCTGTCACGCATTAACCTACCAATAATGATAATAAATTATCTTTCTATAATTTGGTTATATTACATAAGTTCAAAAATATTTATTCACGATAATTTATGTCAGTGTGTGCCAATTTGTTTTATACAAGAAGTCTTAATATTACTGTTGCTCATTAGCAATATTACATGCTTCTGTGCGGTGTATTCAATTTGTGCTCAAATAAATACGTTTTATCACATTTCAAAATGTTAAATATTCCTTGTAATGTTAACGGTTCCCATAGTAACATTTTTAACATGATTATTACATACCTGTAAACAACAAGACCGGGTGCACCCAGAGATTTCATAGGACTATTTGGAAGTACGACATGGTTAATTTTAGGAGAGAATGACGATGCGTTCATTTTCATGTGAGTAACAAAATAACATGTTGCATTATCTGCCATTTCTAGCAAATAAGTGAATCTTTTACCCGCGTCTGTTTTGTGCCACATATAATGGATATCCCGTTTATCAAAATCCATCGTGATATCACCGACTATCAAAAATGCTATCAGATGAGTGGGCATCGAAACGAATTCTTTGAACTGCATCAATTTTATGCCAAAGTGTATATTCGCTGGCTCTACATAGAAAGAATAGTTTTCGGACATTGTTGAAAGAACTGTGTAATCTGCAGGAAACAGAACGGATATGTTGTAAGTTGTTTTTACTCTCGGATCATCCCAGCATGGAAAGAATGCGCGTATCGCGTGCGGTGTGTAGAGATTCGTCAGCAACCATCTGTTATATTGCAAAATAATAAGGATAAATGTTCAGCTGGTGTGTAACTAATCTAATCAGTGCATATGTAAGACAGATGTTAATGTAATATTTCATTATAGATGTATGTTTCTATCGTTTTAGGCACTAAATGCTTCACATAAAGTTTTCAAGTTTGTAGTGTTATGCCGAAAAAATTTGTGGTATTATCAACAATAAATTTGTACTTTAAATATGTAATATCCGTTCTGAATCTATAATATCAAACTTTTTCATTATATGTATTACATACAGAATATCCGTCAATTCGCTATACAACCACTATGTACAGACAAGACGGGTAAAAAAAGTAAAAATTTACGTGTATAAGAGATGTTAATATGTTATCGTAAGACACTTTGTATATATAAATCTATAATTAAAAATATCTCATGTCTTACTTTTGATTTCTGCTACTCCAAGTTGGATAAAAGATATCCTGGATATTATGATTTATAATGGACCTATAAACTAGTGTTAACAGATATTTTCCTTTACTTAGTATTTCATTAAACTTCAAAATTATAAGATTCTTGTTGTCACAATATTGGAACTCGGAAAATTTATAACGTGTACGTCCCAATTCAGCTTTTAAAAATGAATCAAATATCGTAACATTCGTGGCGTATAAAAGAAAAATATCATAGGCAGGTGGCGTTAGTGCATAGCATAAGCTTATGTTCCACACTGATTTCTTGACGTCAATCAAGATATTCATGATGCCTGACAATATTCTTTGATCTGGTTTTACTATGATTCTAGCATCATATTTTATTGGCATTACTTCAGAGATATTTAAATTCTCAGAAACAGACGAGCAATTTATTTTCTTGGAATATATTCTATTCTCGTTAGCGACCGTGACGGTAAATATCAGAACGACTCCAAGAAATACTACGGACCTCATTTTCGTCTCCAATTATATCTGCACAAAAACAATTATTCCCTGTCTAAGTAAAATAATATGTTACATTAAATACATGTAACGATATCTTCCCCTAATGTGCAATTTTAGGTAAGAAGGAAGAAAGAAAAAGGGAAAGTTTTGAAGTTTAGATGGTCGACATCTGTTAAGGAAAGTATAGGTATATCGGTGATGTGTAATACTATACGTTCTCCTCTAGCTAAACAAATATCATTTTCTCACCGTTCTCCTAATATTGGAAAGTTAAAATTAAGCTGATAAAAAACAAAACAAAATTATATATTTAAAGAGATTCCTTGAAAAATATTTTTGTAGAATAGAAAATGTTAGGGATATACTATAAGCTTTCTATCGATTACATATTTTGTGATGTTGAAATAATAAAATTTTAATTATTAACTACGTTATGTACAATAAATATAATATCTTAAATAAAATGCAATAATCTCTCGTGAGAAATAATAAAGTAATAATTAAAGATGTTACGTTAGAGTTAACATTAACTAATTCTTGAATATTACTTTCACAATTTTAATTCTGATTTTTAGCAGTGCTTACGAGTGATAACCCTAGCGCAGATTGTGCAATTATATTCCAATTCACTTATAAATAATGCAATACTTACTTGCGTTATCACAAAAGTATATTACGAAGTATATTGCGAATTGAAACGCAATTTTGATGGAAGGAAGAATAGGTCACAGTTGTATTCTGTGATATGCTCGTCCCTCAGTTGTGATATAATAATAGATTATACATATGTGTCGATATTTACAGAAAGAATTCATTTTGTTGACATAATTGTATTCTTAATGATTGCGCTGATACTATTATCAAGTGCTAGATAAAACGTTTATTATTTATGTTTCTTTCTAAATAATATTGAAACAACTTACTGTATAACTTAATATCTGAAAGTGATATTTATATAATTTTTTCTGTAAGATGCTCAGTTATGTTTGCCGAAAATTTTGGCTGATAAATATTTCTTCAATAATTTATTCACTAGGAAAAATAATTTGAGGATATCGTATCTTTTTCCTTCTTGACAAATCGCTTTAAACTAACGACGATAACTATAGCTTATATATTTATATATAAAAACTAAAGTAAACGAGCTAAACTTCTATATAAGCAAAACTTATGTATAAGAAACGCCGTCTGTCAATATACACATGCACGCAAGTGATTTACGAAAGCAACTCATACAAAACTTCTGTTCGATATATAATTTATCTTAAAAAATTTGCAATTTTAACGTTAAACATTTTTTTATATACGTGAGTTATGCAGATAAAGTGTTGGAAGTATTTAAAACGTATTTAAGTAAAAATGCGTTTGACAAATGCTATTAACATTATTGACATTAACAGTTGCAACGATTTTTAAAAACTAGTCAATAATTCTAATTTTCCTCAAGCATTAATGTTTATTTTTTTTTGTGTCCTCTAAACTTGGTTGCTTTTGTTTACTTCTAATATTACTCTTTTTCAGATATATGAAATATCTCAAATGTACGTGTATGGTAGCCAAATTAGAAGTTAAGTTTTGTATATTTGAAAATATTTTAACATATTTTTAGATAGTAATATGTTTGTGTAGAGTGTGTAAGATCTTTGTAAAATTACAGAAACTGTATGATTTATACCATCATGATATTAATAACAAAGAATATTTATATGTAATTTTAAATTAACAAAGAAGGATATAGATTTTAATTTGTTGTTTTACAACGTTCCCGCTTCCTTCATAATATAAATTTTTACTTCCTTTTTTATACGTTCTTTCCAGCATGTTGAATGAACGAATAAGTTGTATTTATCGTTCGAAGCATTGCGTGCATGTGCAATTTGAACTTGTCAAATCAGTAGAAAGAGTTCTATCTAATTTTACAAATAGGCACCATAATTTTTTCAATGTAAATTGAAAATTGGCAAATTCATGCGTTAAAACGACATACTTCTCCTTCTGTCTGTTTTCTAAGATCTGTTTTCGTTGTCATATTCAAATAATGTATAATAATATCTTGGTTTTCAGAACAAGTCAATTACTTTAAACGTTTTCTATTTTCACGGTTTGTTGTCTCCTTTAGGAAGAATAGTCTGTCAAATCTTTAAGTTTACCCACAAGTTTACCCGAGCAAAGTATCCAATCTTCGAACATCAACAGAATTCTTTGACTCATATGAAGAGAAACAAACACATGTAATGCATGTCTAGCCATAAATAAGGCTCCTGGGTTATTAATTCTCAAATATAATGTGGGAGATAAACAAACATATTAAAATAATCAATAGCGATTATTATGAAAATTATAAATTTATTTTTGAATCCATATTGAACAATTTCTTAATAGTAGCATTTTAATGAGGTCATATAGAGTCATTCTATAGGTATTTTTTGTATCCCACATTTATTGAAAATGCATTCAGGATACAATATGAGTGTAAAATAGTGGATTCAGTGTAAAATGTGATCAATAGATGTTCTATA